AGCCCGCGCTCTGCCTCCCCACGATGGCCCCGCTTGGGTACTTCTTATTCCTCTACAGCGTGAAGCAGGCGTTGGGCAGCTACCCGATCTGGTGGTGAGTGAGCCTTCCTCGCGTTCGCCGCGGCCTCTGTGCGCCCCCAGCCGCCATCCCCTCGGGCAGGGCCCGCAGTGGCCCGGAGCCCACGCCCTACCCCTTCGATTCCGCGGGCCGTGGGCACCCGGTGGTTTCCCTTGGCGGCCTCTTTTGACCTGTTCGGGCCAGGGCTGGGATGCGGGTGGCGGAGCTTCCGGGGACATTGATCTCCGGGCCAAGAGGGGCCCCGGCGAGAGACGAGGCGAACAGTGGGCTGGAGAGAGGCGGGAAAAGGGTCCGCACAGATGTCACGAACGTCTGGGCAGCCTGAGTCCAAACGAAGCGGGGAGGGCGAGCTGGGAGAGAGAAATCCGCCAGAGATTTTTCTTAAGGACCGTGTCTTACTCACACACACACACACACACACACACACACACACACACACACACCTTAAAACAAAGTCGTTGAGACAAGACCGAACAGCTCGGGGCAGCGCAGTTACGTAAAGACAGCAGTGGGGACTGGCCAGGAGCGGCAGGCGCAGTGGGGCCAGTGCCAGGCTCTCCGTGCCTCCCTCCGCTTTCCCGGCGACAGTGTCCCGAGGGGCCCTGTCTGTGAGCCGTCGGCCTGGACTCCCATAGCCAGAAGGAGTTGCCGAGAGGTGCAGAGGGAGTGAGCATCGAGTTTGAGGTTTCCTGAGGGAGAGGCCCTGGAACCCACCTCGGAGAAGGCTAGGGCGCTCTGTCCTCTGCCCCAGACCAGGCACATCCCTGTAAGACCAACCTAAAGCTGGTCATGGGAGTGCAGACAAACTGCGGGAAGGATCCCGAGAGTTTACAGCACAAATGCGGGGAGGCGGGTCAGGGTGACTCTCCCTCCTGGCATCTGATGAGGCAGGACCCTCACAGTCAGGGTCACCCCAAGCCCCCTGCGGGGAAAGCGGGCGCCGAGGGGCCGGGCGCGCCATTGGAAGAGACTCAGAGTTGGAGAGAAGCCTCCCCACACACTTGCGCGCTCTGCACACACCCTCCCAGGAACCCTTTCCGACGGCTTGCCTGGAATTATAATAATTACGCCGAGGGGAAGGGGGAGACCCAGCGAGCCCAAGTACATCTAATCCGATAATAATTTTTCTCTTCGAGATTGTTCAAGAGCGGGGGCGCCCGGGGTGGGAACTGCGGTCCAGGCGCAGCCAGGCGGGCGGAGCGGAAGGGTGGA